TGGGGGGGGGAGCGGGGCGAGAAACAATTCATCGGTACACTATGTTTCCCCAAAACGACAAATCTATTATAGTACGGTGAAAAATTCCTGGCGCAACCTATCCTCAAATATATCTTTTTAACAGGTGGATAACTGCAACCCATACTTTGCACAGTGGTTTGTATTAGTTTGCCTAAACTGAATCATTTTTCCTCAACAACTGAGTCTAGATTTTAAAACCTTTCTTCATAAGTTTATATAAAATACTATATATCTCCGTCACACGAAAAATGGGATTGTTCACAGCACTTATCACTCCTCGCACACATTTTGTATACGCATATGACCTTCGTCAGAGCTCACCAGTGACACTTTCTAGCTGCAAAACCTGTTACAAGAAATTAATTTTGTAGTAAACACTTTTTTTTACACTAAAGGTTCTCAAAACATGCATTTAATAAGCACAACATCGCGACCAGAAAATAAAATGACCGAATTGCGTTTAAAAGCTATATTGTCCCAGCTATAAACCTTTTAAAATCTGTAGAAACCACTCACTGTGACTTTTGATTAGCATTTATTAGGGAACACCTTGAAAGAATACAGCCAACAGGTGTTTACCAAAATGTTGATCTGTTAAGACAAATTGATACATGGCTTCGTGCAAAAGCTGGAGAGCTTACGTTCGATAGTTTAGGAAATAGTTGGTAATAAGTTGAATAAGCTGCGCCACAAATTTTTGACCGCACTGCAGTATAAACCCCAATGTCATTGATCATCTGCTGTAACCGGCGAATATTACTTTTTTTTTTTTAAGTTTGTGTTTGACGGTACTTGCAACACAATTAGGTCATAATCAAGGACTACTATAGTATAGTAGTCCTTGGTCATAATATAAGTGCCGAAGATAAGAGGCAAGGGGTGTTACAAGAGAGTTTTAAAAGATGGAGGAGAGATTAGGACTATAGATGTATGATAAGAAAAAAGGAGCAACCCACACCAGAGCACCCGCCAACCTCCAGCTTTAATAATAGCAAGATGGCCCTTTATCCCTTTAAGGCCGCAATATGATATATCTGACTAGCAGTAGACAATTAATCAGTACCTCAGAATTATTAAGTTTTATATGACTTTTTTGGCCGTTTTGAGTTACTAAGATCATGAGGCCAGAAACAACATTTTCTACCTGTTCTATCAAAATCGTTAGATTGTTTGGAGTATTTATCGAGATGTTCAAAGAATTGCGTTCGAAAAAGCTTCACGTGTTGTGAAACTGAAAATCTTGGACGTCAAATTTCTCAAAACTAGGTTCTGAGCAGATAGAACTTTGTAATTCTAGGGTAGCGAATAGGCAATGATACGCACATTCCGAATCATCATACACAAATCAGAAGCCCTAATTCATATATTTCATAGTATGCATGTTTTGCGTGCCTTTTCAAGTTTTAGATTAACCCCACGAGGCTGAGTATTGTTTTAGTAGAGGTTTCACGGCGCTCGCAACTGCATAAAGTCATATGAGCGCCAGGAGATAAGAGATGTTACAAGGGAGTAACAAACACAAAAAAGAAGGAGGGCAGGCGCGGTTCGTCCATAGAGCAAGGTCGTGCACTGCCGCCCAATTTTTTAAAAATGTTCTATTATGTAAAACGCCCACAATCATAAATAAAAGAAGCCAGAATCAAACACAAGCCAAATATTATATAAAAACAAGATCTTCACTGGTGCAATAACAGTCATTTCTGTGTCTATAGCGCCGTAAAACATCTACTATGCCAAGCCAAAGTCCACGCGCTTTAGCTAAACATAACAGTCTAGTATTCATAGGATATTCAACAATGTAACCTGACCTATAAAGCGCTCTTGGGGATAATAACCCAAGCGATGACGACACTCGTAGCGAGTTTGGCGGTACATTGATATTAATAAGACGGCACATCTCAAATGTGCTCCTGCCGAATAATGCCGAAACATAGCCCACAGTAGGGAGTCTAAAAATAAACGCGACAGACCGTACGCTATTCTTTGCCAATATTATGTGAACCCCGGAGCAATCCAGCGGAGTGCTCAAGTGAATTGTGATTGGTTCATCATCTGTCTTGCCCACAGAATTCTACACTTATAGAACGAGCACTATATCACGTGACCTGTGAGGAATTGAAGACCGAAAACAATGGCGTCTTGAGGGCAAGATTTATCGTTTTCGGAAGTAACCCTATAGCTTTTAAAGCCAGAGCGGCTTTTACAAACGAGTGAAAAGTGGAACATTTACTGTCCAGC